AGTTTGACTATAAGTTTGCTGAAATTTGAGTCTGGTTGACTCTTAATCAAAGTTTGAACATTTTTGCTCAACAGGTTGCTTCTAAATCCGTGCTATGCCTCGAGATTCATGCCGAATAATGAAAATTTGTTCATGGCATATCATTTACTAAGATGTAAACTACAAAGGACAAGTTTTCAACTATGTTTTAACAGCATATTATTAATCAAAATTCTAAGATTTTAGAGTTTCCAACTACTTTATTATATAGCTCTGTAGGATTATTAAGCCCAACGATAAGATTTTAATACCCTTTTAAACATTTGCCTGGTCCCTCATTGACAAAGATAACCATGGTTCCATGCGCACACCCCATTTAAAAATACCGCTGAATGAATTTGCTGTAAATCTTCAAAAATGCTGACATCTCTAATTATAACAACACTAAATCAAATACATTCAATTTGATAGATACTCTTAACATCTAAAAAGTCACTGAAAATTTAAATTGAATTTTACTCGCATCTAATCAAATACCAAAATCTAACAAAATTCATTATTTTCTTACAAACAACCACAAGTACTTCAAAAACAAATGACTAAAAAAACCAGCATAAGTTACTGTAGCGCGGTTGGCAAACATCATTTATAAAAATCCCAAACATGACATTAAAATCAACTATCAGTAGTAGTCAGAAACAAGAAACAAACATTACCGGATAATTGAAGGGGAGCGGCGAAAGAGCGGCGACGGTACGGGAGGAGGAGGAAAGAGGGGATTCCAGGAACAAAAAAGCCCGCCGCCGGAAGACCAGCTCCGCCAAGCGATGCCGCCACTGAAGAAGCCGCCACCGCCGCCATGAACAGCTTTCTCCTTTGTCGCGGTGGTGCTCAAATCAACTGAACTCTTCTTATCGGCTCTTCTTCTTTGCCTCTGCGATGATTCTTTGGAATCGCTCTCCAGCATAACCAGCTCGGCCTGAGAACTAAGCGAAATGGGAATCGACACGTGGCGGCAAGGGATTGTTCGATTGGCCGTCTGCTTATCTTCAATATCCAGGGCTTCGCCAACTCGTTCGGAGTGCTTAGGGTTAGAAGAATTGGGTTTGGCGGCTATTAGGTTTGAGTTGACCTGTTTTCTTAATTAATAATGAGATAAAAATTGAAGTAATAGAAGAGGAAAAATATATATATTTATGTTCTGAAATCATTTTAGCAGGGTCCCGTATCATTTGTGAGTTCGTATAATTTAATAAGGACCTCAGACTGTACAGAGAGTGACAGAGACACATCCATGAAAATATTTTGAGAGAAATTTAAAAAATATATTAAATTTTGTTATTTGATAAATCAGAGAGAGGCAACTCTCCGGATATTTTCTTTGTTATAGGATTAGAGAAATAACGAAGATGTAAAAGAATCTTCGAAAATGAGAAGAAAACAAGTGAGAATCTGTGGCGAGAAAATGAGCGCAAAGGGTTCTTTTCCCTCCCCATTATGTTGTTTTTTCCCCAGTGTCTTGATAAAAGATTGTGACTTGGATATCAGGTATAGTTGGTCGTATGTCAGATATTGTCGGTACGGTGGTCATCTTTGATACATGGATGAAAGGAACAAGTCCCAAGTGTCGGGTGGTGACATTAATAGGTTGTCCCTTCGAGGAAGATGACAACGATCGCACTAGTAGGTGAGCTCGATTTAGTCACTTCGATAGGCATGTTCAATTCAGCTACTTCGGTAGGTGGGATTCATTCAACCATAAATACTAATTTTAATGACGAAAGCCGGACTTGGTGTAACAATATATATCACATTTTCTGGTGATAGTGTTTGCTAGTGTTATTGATGATAGCAGGCGATATAGTATGTTAGCGTCAATGTTTGTTCAATGTTTGTATCAATGACATATGGTTGATGATAGACAAAGAGCTATTGAGCTATTGTTTAGTTAGGTGATTTTAGTTTGATGGCGATGTTGTCAGAAAATTATAATCAAATAACGATGATTGGGGCATCATAGTCAAGTGATTGTAGCAGAAGATTTTAATATGACAATAATGATTAGGGCGATCATAGTCAAGCCATTGTGGCCGAAAGAATGTGATCAGGCGATCTTGATAAGAAGACTGAATTGAATTGATGGTGATTGCAAAACCCTAGTTAGGCGACAATTTTTGCCTTTATTCCTACTTTTTTGTGTATGTTTCATCATATATTTTAGCTTTTCATAATGTTAGTATTCACCGAAATTATCTCAAGATGTGTTTCTATTATTATATATTTTTTTTGTTTTTATTTTAAATTTCTATTATTATATATTTTTTTTGTTTTTATTTTAATACTTGTTTAGTTACTATCTTAATAATTATTTTTATTTTGAAACTTATTTCTATTATGAATATTCAAAGCAAAAAAAAGGGTTCCATCAGATATTTTCACTAATGATTAGGCCTTCGATATCATTTCTCATGTATTTCTCATGTTTATTTCATTATTAATAGTTGGTCACCACCGTTGCTACACTATTTTAGTTTTTAGGATGATACAAAAGTACACCCAAGGCATAAATTTTGCCATCAAAATTGATATCTACAAAACTTAATTGACTTGTGATCAAATTCAATTTGTTGATATGCTCAACACATTTGCTTCTTCAAACATAAAAGACTAAGACTATTGAGTATATGATATATCTTATTAACAACAAATGACTTCTTATGCATATCTGATATTGCCTTTATCATGCATAGTGTGGCATTTTCATTGAGAATGATGAAGGCAATATTTGTTCTGTTAGTTATAGATGAGTAAAACTTAGTGCTTCTTATTTATCAGCTTCCACTTATCTTGATCAACACAGACATGAAGGTTGATGATAGTTTCTTTGATATAATGTAGTATTTTATCTACATATTGTAATTGTTAAAGTCTTGGCTAACAAGCTCGTCCTCCTTGGTCATAAAGCTTTCAGGCCAAAGATAATTGTTGTTGGGAGAGTGATATGATATCAAACAAGACTCAAAGAAGATGGATAAGAAGAGGAAAAAGTTGTTGCAAGCGAAGAGAAGGAAGAATAAAGTCTGCGGCTCTTTCGAGAGAGAAGGAGAATACTGTTTATGCGTTGATTTGAAGCCGAGCCCGAGTCAAAGGAGGAGGAGTCTCGTGCGCATGGGAGGAAGTCGAGCAGCTCGATGCTATGCTCGCTTAGAGGAAGGCTCATGCGTGCGGTATCGAACTCTGCATGCTGTGTTGAAGTCGAGCCCCATTCTAAATCGGAGGAGGAGGCGGTGGCTTCCTGCATTGCAACATACGAAGCAATGGAGTTACAACTTTGTTGAGGGGAGGAAAAGGCTTGTACTTGTGACGCTAGGCTGAGCCGTGACCGAAGGTAGTAGAGTGGCGAGATCTTGGAGTTGTGCGTGAAGTTAGGGCAGCTGACCGAAAATATAAAAGTATATTTAAGTTTTTTTAAATAAGTTAAAAAATATCTTGTTATATAAATAGATACACATATATATATATGTATGTATGTAATATCTTGTTATATAAATAGATACACATATATATGTATGTCTGTGTGTGAGTATGAGTTTAATTAAATAAGTGTTGATAGAAAATTACTTGAATCATGATTGAAACTAGTAGTCCTAAATTTTAGGTGAGCAGGGTGACGTGAATTTCCACTGCGAGGAAAAAAGGAAGAATTTCGTGCAATCGAAAGATTTTAAGATAGGTTAGGATTTTTATTAATTTAATTAATGACTTTAAAACGTGTGTGTTATTTATATGATGTTAATATTATGATATGAATCAGAGATTTAAGAAGTTATATTCAAAAGATTAAGTATTTTGATGGTGGATTTCATAAAGAGAAGAAAAGAGATAAGTGGAGGTAAATATATATGTTTTTCATTTATTAATTGAGTAAATTAACAATATTTTAGTCATTACTTTTAGTAATAGGATTCTTATCTAAAAATATTCACATTCATTTTAATAGAGGTGATGGTCAAAAGAGGTATGTGGAAGAATAAGCTTTTGAGAGGTTTTTAAACAGGCGAGTAATTATTTTCTTATACGTATTAAATTAAAGTTTATTAAATAAAAAATTTCCTTAATACTTAAGACAATTATTTTTATAATTTTATGAATTTTGTAAGCTTAATAGTTTATGGACATAAATAAGGGTAAAAAATGATTTCTCATTGTCTTTAAAAGTATGTAATCTTAAAGGAAATGAAATGTAAAAGTTTAAGTAAATAAGATTACCCCGAGATGATACTCTCAGGGAATGCGATGTACCCGTGCACGATTAAAAAAAAATGTACATTCGAGTGAAAATTTTTTAGGATACCTACGAGTACAATTTTCTATGATAGATTTCGGGTATGACATTGATTTTTTTATGACTCTTAAAGAGGCTAAAAAGAGTAAATGCTTAAATTGAAACTAGGAGGGATAGATTTAAAGTGAAAGCTTAAAATTATATAAAGTAATGAACTGCATTTGCTTTTAAACATTTATATATAGCATTTGTCATATAAATTTAATGCATATTAAAATTATAATTGATCACTAAGTCAAATTTACTGTTAAATTTAATTCTCTTTCTGGGAAAAAAAACTGTAGGTTGATATGTCTGACACAAGGGCTTTAGTTTACAAGAGTAGTACAACTGCTACTAGATATTATGATTATCATTTTCATGCACTATTTATTTTAGTTATATTTTGGCTTCAGATGTCTACAAATTGTTACTATTTTTGAATGTTTAGATGTTATGTGTATTGTGTTTGCAGATGTCTACAAATTGTTACTATTTTTGAATGTTTTGATGTTATGTGTATTGTGTTTGTGGATTATTAGTGGTTGTTTTTCAAAATTGAAAGGTATGAATATGAGTACAACTATTTAAATGTTAATACCATTTGACCGTAACTTCTGACTTGTTTAGCTCTAAGCTATCAGGGCCGGGGTGTAACAAATGGAAACACTATTGTAGTTATTATTGTCTTTATTTTTTGGCTAGAACACCTCATCCATTCATTTTTTAACTCAATTACAAGATCTTATGTCTTCTATAACTAAAAGCCTAAGGTCCACCATCCTCTCTCCCACTTTTACTTTATTTTTTATATGTGAGATGCACCAACACATATGAGGCATCTCCATTTATAGCGCATTGAGGTCATAAATAGTAAGACAAAATGCATTAAAATAATAGTGAATAATATTATAATATAAATATTAAGTAAATGATGATAGATACTGAATTTGTTAGAGTTAGTAAATGATGTATAAATACAGTAAAGATAATTTTATTTTTTATTTCATTTCCAAGAAATTCACATCCTTAATTATCATGTTTTCAAATAATAAATACTATATCAAAAATAAAATCTTATACCAACCTTCATATCTACCCAATATTAAAATATAATTATGATTTTTTAAGGTTGGGAAAAGAATATCATTAATCCAATACACCTGAATCACACTAGGAATATTCCCGATAGAGTAAAAAGCGGCGCAGTAATACGGGAAATATTCTCCCCCGTGTTATTCATGTGTTATTGATGTGTTATTGTGTTATTATAACACCAAGAATATTCTCATGACACAATAACACATAAATAACACACAATAACAAATGAATAACACAGGGAGAATATTCCCCGTGTTACTGCGCCGTTTTTTTTCTTTGTCGCGTTGGGTGTCGTGACGTGATTTCATTGACTACGCACGTTACTCTACGTGATGTAATATTTTTTTGCTCCAGAAGTTTAGTGTAGATAATTCAATAAAAATATTAAGGTTCGGCTCGTTTTCATTTCGAGCTTAAAAATTTGATCGTGTTCGGCTCGTTAGGCTTAATGAATGAGCTGAACATGAGTTATTCACGAACAACGAACCAAATTGACAGCCCTACTCACTTTTCATTATGAATTTTTGTCCGACTTCCTAAGTTCAGATCGAGGTTATCATACTATATAAAAAAAAAATCTTATACCAACCTTCAATATATATATAAAACAAGTTTAGTGTAGATAATTCAATAAAAATATTATTTATTATTAACATACTACATAATTTTCATTAATAATCTACCCTAACTTAAGCCTTACATCTTACATTCATTGCCACTTAGCACGAAAGTTAGAGATCGCCCTCACTTCGTCTTCTTCGCAGGCGGCTTAACCCTCTTCCCCCTCTCCAATGCCTTCGCCGCCGGAGCCATCTTCTTCTTCCCCGGTGCATCTTTCTGCGAAGTCTTCGCTGCCTTGGCCGGACGTGCAGTCACAGTTTTCGGCTTCGCAACCTTAGCCACTGGTTTCAGTTTGCCAACCGACTTCCTCTTTGGCTTTGTATCCGCCAGCTTAGTCCTGTGCTTGGCGGAGAAAGGGGGCTTCGTATTTGGCTTCACCACCGCCATGGATTTCAGCTTAACCAATGATTTTGCCTTTGGTTTGGCTACAGAAACCTTGGGCTTCGGCTTAGAAGTTGCCTTGGTTTTCGTTATCTTAGCTGCGGCAGCGGGGATTTTGTAGGAGTTCTTCACCTTGATAAGCTTTCCGGTGGATGTGAGCTTGCGGAGATGGAAGAGAAGGAGCTTCTTGAAGTTTGGGGGGATGTGGTCCTTGTGGTTCTCCTCGATGAATTTGGTGATCGCATACTGACTGGAGCCTGTCTTCTCCTTCAAAGAAATGATTGCCTCTTGAATCATCTAGGGTTTACCCAAATGAAGAACTCATTAAATCAGATGAAAGGGGAACCTAAAAGGCAATTGCACAACGAAATGTGGATTGCCTTAATATAAGGCGGATGGGTTGCGGGAGCGCGTGGTTTGCGAGGCTTCGTTGGCTTCTTCTCCTTTGAGGCGGGGGGAACCTCCGTCTCGATGGTTGGGTTCACCGGCGCTGGATTTGCGACCTGTTCCTCAACTACTGGAACCTGAATTTCTTCAGCCGCCATGGGATATATCACGATTAATGTATAAGATGCAGAAAAGTGGAGAGAGAAAGAGATGCCGGAGATCGATGAGAGACGATATCGAATAGAAGGGGATTAGATACTAAGAAGCTGCGCGAAAGACGACTCGTGGAAGTTTTTGATTGCAGCAAGGTCCCTTCATTTGGATCTCTGCCTTCAGATTTTTAAAAATGAACCCTTTGATCACTCTCCAATCTACGGCCAGGAGCATTAGATTAGGTGAAGTGATGCAAGAAAGATGCCGAATTGAGCTGTTTTTAGGTGAGCTTAGATGTGCTTTTACTTTCTCTTGTTCCTTGAATATATTAATCTGTGATTGATGGTTAGTGGAGATTTTTTTCACTGTTTTTAAGCTCTGAGGCTTGGCTTTATAATGATCATGGCCTTGCTTGATTTGGTTGAGTTTCATGGGAGATATCCTAATTGCAAGTGTTTTTTTGGTTTTTCTTGTGTTTTTGTGGAACTTTGTTGGATATTATGTATAACCAGGAAAATTATCAAAAAGAATCTTGAGGAGATCAAACGGTCTTGATTAGAAGAGAAAAGATAAAATTTAATAATCTGATGAGAAGCTACGGGAATCTGTGAAGCCGATCTACTGAAGATCATTAGCTAATGAAAGAATGGCCGATCGGCTAAGAAGCCTTTTCCACTACCAAAGAGCCACCCAGGCCAACAATGGATTTCTACACCGATCCTCTTAAGGTCGACCGATTGCCACTCTCAAAGCCGTTCAGTTTCTCAGAATAAAAGTCAAATAACTGACACAAACTAGTTAAGTCGACGGATTTAATGGCCGATCGGCTAAGAAGCCTTTTCCACTACCAAAGAACCACATAGGCCAACAATGGATTTCTACACCGATCCTCTCAAGGTCGACCGCTTGCCACTCTCAAAGCCGCTCAGTTTCTCAGAATGAAGGTCAAATAACTGACACAAACTAGTTAAGTCAACGGATCTAATGACCTGACGATCGTGAGGCTTAGAGAGTGGCAATATCAATAATTGATATGAAAATGTGCTAATATTAGTTATGGATGTGAAAGAGTCTCAATATCAGTTATAAATACTGAAAGTCTCCAGTAGTACTTATAATTATGAAAGGTGCAAAAGGGGTTAATATTGATCTGTAACGCTCTAATAAAGTAATGGGCAAAATTAATAAGAATAATGACTTGCAAAGCCCCCATTGAAGTGGGGGTAAGCATGTAATTGTATCAAGGCTTCTCTATGATTATAAATAAGGACCATTTTACGAATAAATAGACAGATCTTCTTCTCTGCACTGTTTATTTTGTACTCCATACTCACTCTTTCTTTTTTCTCTTTTATTTCCTAAGCTCTATCCTTCGAGGTATGTTCCAAAGGATAAGTCAGGATTCAACCTCGAGCATGGACGTGCCCAGACAAGAAGTAGAGTACACAACCAAGAAGTAGCTCAACTTAGAGACAATGCTACCATGGAGTGCACCAAGGAACTTGTGCAACTGCAGATTTAGGAGCTAAAAGATCAAATGATGATTGCCATTCTAAATGCTATAATTCAACAAGACTAGCAACGACTTTTCTTATCACGGGAACCTCGTGAGAAACCACATCTCGAGGAACCACCTCAGGGGAACCACAAACGCTTTGTGGTTAAAGAGTCGCCTAGGCACCCAAAAGACATGAAGACCCCAGTACATTGATAGTTTTGGGTCCACGCCGATGGAAGGACATAAACTCGTATACAATGAAGCACCCCAGCAACAACCGCCAAAGAACACTTTCTCTCGATAAATCCTAGAGGCCAAACATCCAGAGAAGTTTAAAACTCACGACCTCAATCTTATAAGGGTCAGACTGACCCCGTCTACCACATCGCTGCCTTTGAGTCGGCAATGGGTATGCTGAGGATCACCGATGCGTTACAAGTGTAGGTTGTTCCTTACCACGCGAAGGGAGTATGCTCTTATGTGGTTCAATGCCTTGTTGATGGGAGTGATCCACTCTTTTATAAAGTGCAAGAAGCTGTTTGTGGCGCACTTTGCCAGTACCTGGAAACCTCTGAAGAAGTAACAAGCCCTTTTTTAGATCAAGCAAGGAGAGAATGAGAGTCTTCGTTCTTATATCAACCATTTCATGAAGGAGATGTTGGAGGTGCAACCACTGATCGGACAAACCACTTTGACGCAAGGAGTTTGGATGAAGCGATTCAAATATAGCTTGGGCTTGTGCGAGCTAAAGTCTTTGGCGGAGTTGTTGGAGATGACCATCATCCATATTATCGTCGAGGAAGGTGTTATCAATTTCTCCCATTGCCTAATGGAGACTTTCGAACGTCATTCGAAGAAGAGGGCATCGCAAGATGACAGTAAAAAAACTACGAATAAAAAACATCCTTCCGTCGCTTTTTCTATGAGAACGATTGGCATACTCGGGACTGCAACAGAGACAAAAATAACTGGCTTCAAACCCAATACTCTCACTAGAGGCCGTCTCATTACAAAGGACAACCACACCATGAAGCACAAAAGACCCCTAAGGATCTGAATGACCGAGCTTATGGAGGCCATTCAGAACAAGAAATATTTTAAGAAGGTTCCACTGATGAAAACAGGAGCTTCTCTCCGGAATTCCAACAAGTATAATGATTACCTTCGAGACCAAGACCATGACATGGAGGAGTGTCGTCGTCTCCAAAGTTCAGTCGATGCTTAGGGAAAAAAAACTCAAAGAGTTCATCGCTGTCGGAGTTGACACACGTCAATAGGGCAAAGCTCCGATGGAGTAGTCGTCAGATGAACATGTCCACATGAATGCTATACATATCGTTGGGGTAACCTTGACCATCTTTGAAGGAGGCGGAGAATCATCTCGTCGGGCCAGTTAGAAAAGATTCTGATCGGATGAGGTGTTCACAATTGCTTCCTCCTAGAAGCATAGCCATCCCCCCATTGTCTTTACCGACGCTGATTTATCCCAGAAGGGAAATCCGTACAATGACACTATCGTCATTACCCTCTTGATCAACAACTACCAGCTAGGTAGTTTCTTGGTCGACCTGGATTGTTGTGAACATGTTCAAAACGGTGTTCGAGAAGATCGAGCTCAAAATCGATTGGTTAACTGGGCCAATCGGCTTACTCTTCGGCTTTGACATTATCACTCTAGGTGTCTCCTAGGGTGAAGAAGACAAGCAATTTACAAGCACAAAAAACTTCTTGGTGGTAGAATCCTCATCCATGTACAACGCCATTTTCGACCGTCCTTTGCTGAATAGTTACCGGGTGGTTACCTCCACATATCATGTAGCAGTAAAATTCCCCAATGACGGGAAGATCATCACAATTTGCAGGAACCTTGAGCAATCTCAGAGCTGTCGCCTTTGAGGGGTCGCTAACATGGAGCAGGAGTCGCTTGACATCCAGATTCGATGGGAAGGGGGTCTCTAAACCAGTACAACCACCCTCGAAATCGTTGCATCTGCTGAAGATCCTGGTCAATTTTTTTCTAATAAATGAACATTTTGATGCAGGGTATAAATGTTTGTTGGTACAGACCCTCTACGAGCATCGTGACGTTTTCTCCTGGACAACACCTAAAATGCGTGGAATTTCGATCGACATCACTTGCCAACGGTTGAACATCAACCCGACCTTACGACCTATGAAACAAAAGAGTCAGTCATCAGATAGAGCTCTGGTTGAACCAATTTGCGAGGAGGTGATGAAACTGAAGGAGGCCAGTTACATCCGTCAGGTCCATTACCTAACCTTGGTCTCCTATGTCGTGATGGTGTAAAAGGCCAATGACAAGTGGAGAATGTGTGTGGATTTCACGAATCTCAACACCGCTTGTCGAAAAGGCAGCTACCCATTATTGAAGATCGACACGTTGGTTGATGCAGCAGTCGGGTACACGGTTATGAGCTTCTTGGATGGCTTCTCCGGCTACCACTAGATAAAGATGCACATGACATATTCAAAGAAGAAGTCTTTCATAACCAGTGAGGGTGTCTATTATTATAATGTAATGCTCTTTGGGCTTAAGAATGTTTGGGTTACGTACCGACATCTTATGAATGTAATATTTTATAATCAAAAATAGAAAAAAATGTTGAAGTGTATTTTGATGATGTGTTAGTTAAGAGTTAGTCGACTGAACAGTACATTAGTGACTTACAAGAAACCTTTCAAACTTAGGAATTATAACATGAAACTTAATTCACATAAATAAACTTTTGGGGCGTCAACTAGAAAATTTCTCGATTATCTTTTTAACTCTCGAAGACATAAAAATTAATCCAGAAAAAGCCCAAGCTTTTTTGGACATGCATTCCTCATGCACCACTAAAGAGGTACAAAAATTTACTGGTCGGATTGCAGACTTAAATTGTTTTATCTCTAGATCGGGTGACAAATGTGTGACATTTTTTCTAACTCTTAGGAAATAAAATGAAACTTAATTCACAGAAATGCCCTTTCGGGACGTCAATTGGGAAATTTTTTTATTATCTCTTAACTCTCGAAGGCATGAAAACTAATCATGAAAAATCCCAAGCTTTATTGGACATGCATTACCCATGCAACACTAAAGAGGTATAAAAATTAACTAGTAAGATAGCTGGCATCAGTCGTTTTATCTCTAGATCGGGAATGTGCGACATTCTTCTGAACACTAAGGAAAACCAGATGATTTAATTGGTTGGATGAATGCGAGCTAGCATTCGAAAGCTTAAAAAAGTTCCTGGCATCTTCACCACTTCTCCAGAGTCCAAGACTAGATGAGGAACTCTTGCTGTACCTATGCGTCGGACCCGAAGCCGTTAGCTCTATGCTTGTTAGAGAGGAGCTGAGAAAGCAGTTCCCAATATACCACACCAGTTGGGTCCTCAGAGGCATCGAAATCTGACATCCCATCATGGAGAAGTTATTTTTTGCTCTAATTATTTATGCTCGCAGGCTTCGACTTTATTTCCAAATGCATTTGATCCGGGTCATCATCGATCATCCGCTCAAAGTGGTCCTCACACAGTCAAAACATTTTGGTCGACTTCTCAAATGGACGGTGGAACTTAGTGAGCTTGACATCTACTATATACCCCAGACGACAATTAAAACACAAGCAATTGAGGACTTCTTGGCAAGCTTTTTCAAAACATACAAGCCAAGCGAAGTCGTCATAGATGAACGAACGTGAGTTTTTCATTTCGATAGACCCTCCAAACCAGCAAGCGCAGGGATCATATTTGCTCTGAGCAGCCCGACGAGAGATCATATCTACCATTCGATCGTCATGGAGTTCGAGGTTACCAACAATCAGGCGGAGTACGAAGCTTTAGTCGTCGTTCTATGCCTCGCGTATGAGATGGGTGCCCGATATATTCTGTTAAAATCAAACTCAT